GAACCATTGATCTGAGTCTTCCCCAATTTGGGGAACCAGATCTGCTATGAGAACATGACACATGCCACGCTGCAGAATAAGCACAGGCACGAGTGATGTCCGTTTTACCCACGAGGGAACAGACTCACCAAGATTAAGTAACCCAAGGTATATATAGCAGTGGGATGAGCACTCTCAATTGCAGAACTCATGATCACTCCATGAGCCTAGGCAGCCTCTCTCTCCTGCCCAGGCCCAAAATGATTTGTCCTGCCAGGAAGTCACATTTACATGACTTTGGACTTCCCTCCACCCCTGTGCTCTATTTAAAGAAATGTCTTTATTTGACATTTTTAAATTACAACAACTTAGGATTGTGTAACAAATTTTAATATAAGACATCTATATATATAAAGGCTAAGTGACCTGCTGACCAGCCACCTGTCCGACTGGCCGGTAGGTATGATGCGCACTGACCACCAGGGGGCAGATGCTCAATGCAGGAGCTGCTGAGCTGCAGTGACTTGGCAGTGGTGGTTCTTGGGTGATGCACCCCAAAACCAGAGAGGAGGGAGCCCGATTCCTCTCAGGGCCACGCGATTCCACCTTCAGCTGCGGGTTATGTTGTTGCTGGGGCAATGTTGGCCCGAATTTGGTTTACTGCACACTTGTGTTTGTGTTCTACACCCTGTACGACAGCAACTTTGCAGAGTGCCCTCTCACACTCCGGGACCCCTTGGGGGATTTGGAGAGCCAGTTTTGGCCCAATCCCCACAGGCCAGGCCGAGGGACACCACCTGCCAGAGGGACCCTGCTCATTCCACAGATGTCCTCCAAGCCCCAGCACCACCCCAGGTGCCACCGGCCGGGAAGGGACCCCAGGAGGTTGGCTCCAGGCTGTGTCTGGCCCATCTCGCCCAGTCCTGCCCCACCGGCCACCTTCTAATTAATTTCCTTTCAATGTACACAAATCTGTGCACTGGGTCACTAGTATAAAATAAAACATAGCTCTAGCTTCTAATCTATCTTTCCCCACCTCCTACTAATCATTTAATGTGTCTATTCATAGCTTTCTGTGTATATACAAGACAAGCATAAATATAATATTAAACATATAGTCATATATAAGGTAGTTTTTTGTTTTTATACAATTGGGATTTTACTATACAAAATGTTCTTTAAAAAATATATATATATATATATTTCAGAGAGGAAGGGAGAGAGAGATAGAAACATCAATGATGAGAGAGAATTATTGGTTGGCTGCCTCCTGCACACACTCACCTGGGGATTGAGCCTGCAACCCGGGTCTGTGCCCTGACCACGGAATCGAACTGTGACCTACTGGTTCACAGGTCAATGCTCAGCCACTGAGTCACACTGGCCAAGCCAAAATGTTCTATTTTTACTTAAATTGTCATCACATCTTTCATTACTTCACTCTCACGCAGAGTATGAATGGATTATAATTTATATAGAAAGTGTCTTATTGATGGACATTTAGGCTACAACAATGCTTTTCAGCAATCATCTTTGTACAAATGTGTGTTTGAGTATATGCGTATTTCTGTAGGATAGATTCCTAGAATTAGAACCTAAATATGCACATATTAAGTTCTAATCTTGTCAAATTGCCCTCCAAGAAAGACTGTGACAATTCATACTCTATCAACAATATACAAGAGTGTTACCACCACACACTTGCCAACACTAAATAGTATCATTAATCTTTTTACTTTTTGCCACTCCGGTGGGGAAATAAAGTGATATTTTAAAAATTTACATGTCCTTAAAAATTAGTAAGGCTGAGTCATCTTTTCAAAGCTTACTACTAATCATTCATAAGCTTTCTACTGGGTTAGTTTATATTCTTTGCCCACTTTTATGTTGCATGTTGTCTTTGACTATCTGTAGACTGCTTTGCACATACCGGATTTTGAACCTCTGTTGTACATACCACACAGTTTTCCCTTCGTATGCACACCAGCTCGTATGCACACAGCTCTGCTGCCCAGGGTCAAGCCCACACCACCCGGCCCTCCAGCCTCTGACAGGGGCACCCAGTGGCAGGATGTGTGGCTTCTCTGAGCCTCAGTTGCAAGCATCTCATAGGGCTATGGGAGGATTCCTGCAGAGCATCCTGCAGATTTCTTTTCCACTTCCCTCTGCCTTCCTTTCATTCTGACTCCCTTTCTGAGGCACAGTATTGGCTTTGAAGCTGTTAGCATGGTGCACCAAAGCCGTTAGGACAGAGCTCACAATCACTCCCACTTCCCTTCCACAGTGGTAACTGATGCTCAGAGGCCTGGCTATCAGGAGCTTCTGAGCCACTTCTCCCTTGGCTGGTTTCTTTGTGGGCAGTGACACCCATTTCAAAATGCCAGCCCCAGTGAATACCTTGAATTCTCTTCCTCCCATGTCTGGAGCACAGGAAATGTTGGATGGATGGATGGATGGATGGATGGATGGATGGATGGATGAATGGAGACAGGATCCTTGGTCTTTCCAAGCCCACTTGAATCCCTCCAGGCTTTCCTCTCTCTATACCTTTCCCCTCATCCTTCCCTGAAGCAGACCATCCACCTTCTCCACTCCGCTGCTCCCAGGTCATTCCCTTTCAGAGGGTCATTCCCTCCCCCTGAAATATCAGCCTCCAACCACATGTTTCATTTCCTCAGGGCCAGTTCAATGGCAGCTTCTCTCCTCACTGAATTCCCATAGCACTTTCTCTGTGCCTCTGTTGGGGCACTTGGCACTTCCTGGTGTAACTGCTCTGTCCTTTCTCCCCTGATGACTCACTGGTGGGAGGTTGGAGAGTCATGTTTACTTCCTCGTTGTGCTCCTCCAGTGTCCAGTGCAGGGCTGTGCACACAGTAGGTGTGTATGCACTTATTGAGTGAATGCGTGAACCACCAAGAAGACCTATTGGCCACCACGCCAACCCAGCTCTCCTGGGTAGAAAGTCCAGTGCCACCAACTCTGGCTCCTGAGACAAACAGCTCTGAGCAAAGCCTCAATTTACCTTTGGGCAATGGCATGGTGCATGGAGGGACACTAATAATCCTAGGCCTCTAAGAGTTTTCTATTTTAACTGCACTAACTAGGAATGCCCAGGCAAGGCTCTTGGGGTCTACTGAATTACGACTCCAGTAGATAAAGCATTTTTCAACCAGAGGTGTTAGGGTTGGGGAAGAAGGTACACACAAGGCCGAAGAGGGTAAAGAATTATGAATTTATTAGATCATTTGGAAAACCAGATGGGCCGAGCCCCAAAATGGCGTCAGCACCCAGGGATGGGAAGTCAGAGGTTTTAAAGGACTCTAGGCGGGCTTTTTCTGGGCAGAGAATTTTCTGGGTGGGTCTGAAGGGGGAAGAGAATGGTCTTAGCAAGTGGAATGTGGTCTAAGCAAAAGGGAATGTCGGTTGTGAATGGTCTAAAGGTCAGTTCCCAGGGGAGGGAGTATTGATTCAATTATTTCATCAGACCTAACAGAAGGGACCTTGAGTCTTTGGGGCCCACGTAGCTCATTCTCTAGTTGGAAAGCCAAGAGTCAGAGAGGGGAAGTAACTGGTCCAAGGTCACACAGTGGCACAGTGAGAACTAGAACATCCAATGCCGTAGGACATCCAATCTAGAGCTTTTTCCAGGTGCCACGGGAAACTCAAGCTAGCCAACTTTTGACACTCAGCCAGGCAGAGTCAGATTAAGGTTAACTCATATGCCTAGTGCATCCAAGGACCGAAGACCTAGGAGTTGGGAATAGTGATTATGCCAACAAGCCAGTTAAGCATAATCCCCTGCAACAGTTTTGCTTTATCTTGTTAAATAAAATAAGGTGAATAAACATACATATAACTTTATATATATATAACACACACAAGTGCACACATAAGTACTTTTCTCTTATAGGAGCAATACATGTTTGACATATTTATTGTAAAGAAATTGGAGCATACAGAACAAAATTAAAATCATATAATCTCCCACCAGTCAGAATTAAATACTTAAGTTTTTTACATATTTTTTCCAAAACTTTTGCTATGCAAGTAGGAACTCATTTTAATATTTGGGGTGGTATTGCATGTACAGTTTAATGTCTTCTGTTTTTCATTTAGGTCTTAAGGCACCACTTTCCCACATTATTATAAGACTAGAGACCCGATGCACGAAATTCATGCAAGAGTAGGCCTTCCTCCCCCTGGCTGCTGGTACCAGCTTCCCTCTGGCACCGGGGACCTGGGCTTCCCTCTCAGCCCCAGCTTCATCTGGAAGGTCGTCAAGTCTAATTAGCATATTATGCTTTTATTACTATAGATGCTCAAAAACGTCATTTTAATACCCAGACAATCATGGGTCTAAGCTACCTGTCACTACTTGAGCCAATTCAGCAGAGACAGGGTTGAATCATATATGAGCATTTATTCCAATCATGCCGGCAGTGTGGGAGAGCAGCAGGTCATCCACAGAAATCTGCTGGGAAGTAGGCAAAAGGGTATGTCAAATGGGCAGTTTACAGGTAATGCAGGCTGGGGGTACGCAAAGGCCTGTGGTATGCAAAGGCTGGGGGTCTTCAAAGAGCTGGCGGCTCTGGTTTCTGCAACAAGGTTGTTCATCTTTCCATGATAATAGGCAGCTCCCAGATGGAGAGGATGGGTCGCATTTCCAGGTGAGCTCCCAGGTCCCCTGTGCAACTCCCAGCCAGGTTAGAACGTGACTTCTTTAAATAAAACAAAACAATCACAGTTAACGGAGCCTGATTAATATTTCTTACAATTTTAGCTGGTCTCCAATATTCTGTTTCTGCCCCTATCTCATTGTGTGCCATAATTTATTTAACCGCTTCTTTACTGTTGGATGTTTATGAATAATCGTCTGAAGAACATTCTTGAACAAAAGTCTTTGTCTGCGTTCGGATTATTTCTTTAGACAAATTCCTAGTAAGTGGAGGGCAGGAACATGTTTAAGACTCTCACTACTGGCTGCCAAGTAGCTTTCCAGAAACATGTACCAATTACAACCCCACCAGCTGCCTCAAAGAAGAGCCTTTGATTCTGCCAATTGCAGCAACACCTCGGGCTAGGGGAGGGGCACTCTTTCATCCAAAGCCTCTTGGGTCCTCCTGACAATGGACTCCTTGTCCTGCCCGCATCTCCTCTTCCCATACTGCCCTCCATCCCTGGCTCCAGGCTTGACTGTCTGTGAGGCCTCTGTTCAATTGCCTCCCGCCTTCCTGGCACTCCAGGCTGCCCCTGAGATCAGAGTTGGTAGAGCTGAAAGGTGAGAGATGCAACTGTCCTGTGGGGATTCCCCCCCCCATCCCCGCGCAGCCTTGGGAAAGCCCCCAGAGGAAGTGAGGGGTAGGGTGTGTTCCGGTTGCTGAGTCATCCACCTGTCGACCTCACCCAAGTCCTCAGCCCAGGGCAGGGACCTGCACACTTAGAAGACAATAGAGGCCAGCCTCAGTGACAACAGCCACAGGGGACTCTGGCCAGCGTGTGGGTGACTCCTGTTTCCCTACAGGCTCTGAAGCCCCTCCATGAATCCCCGGAAGAAGGTGGATTTGAAGCTCATCATCGTCGGAGCCCTAGGGTGAGTGAAGCCAAGCTCCGCTTGGGGTCTGAGGTTGGGATGCAGGCCCCTAGCCAGGGGTAGTGAGACCTCCTGAATGTGTTTCCACCTCCCATGGGTACCTTTCTGATTCAAGGTGGCACTAGGGAGGGCATCCCACCCGAGGAAAGGAGCTCAGTAGGAGAAAGAGGCTGGGAATCAGGTTGCCTGGTTTCTGGTCCAAGCTCTGTGGAAACAAGCCAGTTAGCATCTATCTGCCTTCCCACCTCCTGCCACCTACAGGAAAGACCTGACCTTTGCGTTGGGGCACCCAGCTCTCTTCAGCCTCTCTGCTCACTTTGACTGGTTCCTACTTCTAGAAACCATTCCTTAGTGCCTTGCTACTCAAAGTGTGATCCTTGGACCACAAATGTTAGAAATTCAGAATCTCGGGAAGAGACGGTGGCGAGAGGGGCTTGGTGAGATTTTGAGAATGGTATGGATGTGTGTGTTCACATGTGTCTGGGGTTTTTCCTCAGTGTAGGAAAGACCTCCCTCCTCCACCAATATGTGCACAAGACCTTTTTTGAGGATTATCAGACCACGCTAGGGGCCAGTATCCTCTCCAAGATTATCATACTGAATGACACAACTTTGAAGCTACAGGTGAGCGGCCCTCCCTTTCCCTCTTCAACATTCATACCTGAAAATCACCCCACATTCTCTGGACAGCCACTCACAGCAATGTGTTCTAGGAGCTAGAATGGTTTAGAGCTGACATCAGCAAACTTCAGCTAATGGACCAAATCTGGTCCACCACCTGGTTTTGCAAATAAAGTTTTATTGGCACACAGCCATGCCCACTTGATTACTGATGGTCTATGGCTGCCTTCACACTAGAGCAGCAGAGCTGAGTAGTTGCAACAGACCGTATGGTCTGCAAAGCCTAAGATATTTACTTTGTGACCCTTTACAGAAGAAACTTTTTGCTGATCTCTGATCTAGAAGGATGAGCTCGAATACAGGAATTGGGGAGTCTTACTTCTAGTCTTAGGTCCCTGGAAAATTTGACGAGTGGCCTTAGCAAATCATTCCCAAGGTCCAAATCTATCAGATGAGAATAACATCATCTATTCTGATGGCCCAGGGAAAAACAAGAGCTCAGATATGAAAGTGCTCGTGGATGCTAAATGTGAGTGCCAAGATCCTGCAGTGTAGAAGGGTGACAGGGTCAAGATACCTGTGTGTGAAAACACCACATGCACCTGTGCCAGGGCCGCCTGCTCCCTACCCAGAAACGGAAGCTTTGACATGATGTGATCCAGTTAGGCCAAACCTCCAGCCACTCATCACAGCCCCGTGGGACGGCTGCTTTTTCCTCCAGATCTGGGACACAGGTGGCCAGGAGCGATTCCGCTCCATGGTGTCCACATTCTACAAAGGCTCCGACGGCTGCATCCTGGCTTTTGATGTCACTGACCTGGAGTCCTTTGAAGCTCTGAATACCTGGCGGGGTGATGTTTTGGCCAAAATCATTCCAACGGAGCAGTCCTACCCCATGGTGGCGCTGGGGAACAAGATCGATCTGGAAGACCGGCAGGTACCATTCATTTATTGACTCATTCATTCACCCAACATTGTGTGAGCACTGGTGACAGGCCAGACACTGTGTTAGATCCCACACATACGGAGCTGAATCATACACAGTCCTCGCTTTAAAATGTCACAGTCTAGTAGTGGATGGAGACACTTTAAAAGGTAACTATGATACAATATGGTAAATACGATGATAGCGATAGACCTTGGAAATGTGGGGACCACAGTGGAAGTGCATTTACTAAGGCCAAAATCTAGAAGGGGCTTCCTGTGGTAGGTGGCTTCCAGGTTGATAAAACAACATGAGCATGCTATGAGCTGAGAATTAAAGACAATGTTGTCTAGAGACAGGGAGTGGAAGAATGAAGGCATCAAAGGTAGGCAGATAGAATTTGAATTAACCTGTAGAACAGTATGTCTACCCAGGGTCAGGTAGGGGGTCTGCAGTTATAAATACTTGAGTCGACAAATTTTCTGAGAAAGTAGTACAGTGGGGCCTTGACTTACAAGTTTAATTCGTCGAGAAAGTAGTATATATTTTTAAATTAGCTTAAGCATAGCCTGGCCAGCATGGCTCAGTGGTTGAGCGTCTCGTAAGTCAAGGCCCCACTGTATATATTTTTAAATTAGCTTAAACATAGCCTGGCCAGCATGGCTCAGTGGTTGAGGGTCGACCTATGAACCTGGAGGTCAACAGTTCAATTCCCAGTCAGGGCACATGCCCCGGTTGTGGGTTCGATCCCCAGTAGGGGGCGTGCAGGAGGCAGCTGATCAATGATTCTCTCTCATCATTGATGTTTCTATCTCTCTCTCCCTCTCTGAAATCAATAAACATATTTTAAAAAATAAATTAGCTTAAGCATATTCTGGATCATCTGGCTAACCACCGGATGGCTTGTTTGTTCCATGGTTGCAACAACTCTGTGTAGGTGTTTACTGCAGTGGCAGTGGTGTTTACTGCCGTTGCCTACTAATAAGAAGAGACTAGAGGTAGACTTAATTCTTAAAAGATGCTCTGCCCTGTTACTTTTTGCCTTGGATCCCTCAGATGCATGTCAGACACAAATCCCCAGTAGCTACCAAACTCCAGGGGTTGAATGTTAGGCTTTCCAAGTGGCCTCCTTGAAGCCTTTTTTGGGGTGGAGGTGAGGCTTTGCCTTTTCTCTGTCTTTTGCGGGGTGCACAACACAACACAACTTTCTCCAAAGAAATCCTTTCTACTCCTCCTTTTCAGTCTGTTAGTATCCATGGTGTGGGGTTTGGAGTCATGGATTCTTGGTCATGTACTTTGGAAACATAAAGGTCAGGGGGCAGTCTATTTCCCAGCCCACCTTGTATCAGACATCTATCAGATTGTAGTGCCTCCCCCAAAACGTCCACTTTAATGAACATCCTGCTTCATATACTTATAGATTGTAGGGTGGGGAGTTGAGGGAGTTCAAGACTGAGAGTCTGATTTTTTCTCCGTGAAATAAGAGGCACCATTTTCTTGAGGGAAAACCAAGTAGGAGTCTGAGGAACGATGGTGACTCTTCACCAGTCACCTGGAGAGAAATGGGTGAAGAAGCTAATTGGCAACAAAGACAAGAACTGATGGGTGACACTCAGGGCTTATCGGAAGGAGGACACCAGGAGATTGAGGTGGAGTCTGTGTTGTGTTTTTCTTCAAGAGCCCTGTGTGGGGGGAAAGCCAGGAACGAGGGACCTGGGCTGGGCCAGCAGAGGTGGAGGAGCAGGGCAGAAGGAATGAGCACGGGAGGAGGTTGAAGGAAGGCAGGTTGCAGCCAGAGTGGAAGACGGTATTTAGTGTTATCTTCTGAGGTCCCGGGTCTGGCCCTGCAAAGAAGAGGAAAGAAGGTGAAGTCTGTCGGAAGGGAAGGCATTGGAAGCTATTGTGAGGGGCGAAGGCCACAGCGTGAGGTGGAGAGGAAGCCTCGCCAGACTGCAGAGCTCAATGAGTGAGGGGGTCCTGGCAGGATGGGAAGTACAGGCGATGCCTTGAGAGGGTGGAGGGGTCCAGTCCAGGCTTGGGCGGGGGCATGAGCTTTGATCTGCCGAGAGAGGAAGATGAGGGCTGGAAAGAAGCAGTAAAGCCCCGGGCAAGCCCAACCCCATCTCTGGGCCGTGTGGTTAGCCCGTTCCAGCCACTTCATCTGTGAAATGAGGGCCAGACACAGAGTTCATGCGGTTGTTTGATGATTAAAGGAAATGATGCCTATAAAGCATGTGGGGAGCTTAATAGATGGAAGCGAGGCCGATCCTCCTTATTATCTCCAAGGCACAGGCTGGGGAAACAGGGGAGCGTCTCCTACTCAGTACAAAGAAAATAAATGTTGAAAACTCTATTGCTAAGATGTGAGGTGAAGGAGAAGTTCTGGAGATGGATGGGGGTGACGGTTGCACAACAACGTGAATGAACTCAATGTCCTTGAACTGCGCACTTAAATATCGTTGAAGTGGAAAATGTTGTGTCTAAGTATATTTTACCACAATAAAAAATATATGCTGGCAGAATGATTTTAAAGAAACTACTGACCTAGGTTTTTTTTCAAGTCCCTACTCTTTCTACAGGAGGTACTAGAGTGAAAAAAAATGTTAGGTTGTTTAAAAGAATAGCTCTGCTAGCATCTATGCTACAAGGAATTTCTTCGCTAGCTTGTGGAGTCTTTGCTCTAAGTTCAGGTAGGCACTTTCTGACTTTCCACTGAGGCGCAATGTTGGGATTATGTTTCTGAAAATATTAGCTATTTTGGGTAGCAGTTTAAGATGTATTTGACACACTAATTTTAACACATACAATTGATGATTTAAAATGTATATGAGATGGAAAAGTATCACAAATAAAATTACATAAACTGGACTAATTTTGTGAAACTTTTGGCCTCTGATGAACATCAAAATTGTAATAGGAGCTCTGGCCGGTGTGGCTCCGTTGGTTGAGTGTCATCCCATGCACCTTTCGAAGGGTCATGGGTTCCATTCCTGGTCAGGGCACATACCCAGTTTGGGGTTCAGTCCCCAACTGGGGCACATATGGGAGGCAACTGATCAATATTTCTTTCTCTCTCTCTCTCTCTCTCTCTCTCTCCCCTTTCTCTCTCTGTTTCTCTTCCTTTCGCTCTAAAATCAATAAAAACAGACCCTTGGGTGAACAGGAGAAGTAAAATGTTAGTAGTATATTGTCAGCCAGAAGCAAAATTAATAGAAGTAACATTTCTAAAACTTTCATACATCTTCTATCCCCAAGTATCACACCTCGAGTTTATTTCCACAGTCAGAGCCTAAGGTGTAAATAGCCATTATGTTATAAATAAAAGACAAGACGGCTTTAAAAAGCATGAAACTGCAACTGGACTTGGAGAGGAAAGTAAAAAGTCCTGTCTGGTTGCTTTCTTCCCAGGCCAGCTTTCTGAGGTTCAATGGAGAGGTGCTGGGGACAGAAAAAGAATGTTAATTGGCAACATAATCCCCACCGTTATTTTGGAGTTGTGTATTTAATCACTGCATGTAAACAGAACAGAGAACGAGTGGAGAGAATGAAATAAAATACCCGCCATGGTCCCGCCACTGTCCAGCAGGAGAGGAGGGGCAGCTGAGATCAGCCAGCTAGGAGTTGGGAACTTGTCTTCCTAGCTCTGTCCCTGGGTGACCTTGGGCACCAATCCTGGCTTCTGCCTCTTGTGCCACTAAAGAGAAGGACTCCCCCTGCCTCCTGGAGGGGCAGAGGCACGTGACTTCATTGCGTCTCCTTTCAGTTTCTACCGCAGCTCCTGAGCCCCAGTGATGGGCCCAGGAAAATACTCATCACCTGG